CCCAGATCTCGCGCCCCTCGCATGCAGCGCGCGGGAGCGCACCCGCTCAAGCGGTGTGAGCGGCGTCTCTCGATGGAGTCACTGAGAGTAGGAGTGGGAGCGCACCCGAGCCTGAAGAACGAGCGCAGCTGCGGCTTCGGCTCGGACGAGGCGCTCGCGGCGCGGGTGCGGACGCCGCTGCTGCTGCTCTCGGCCGGAAACGACCCGCCAAACGTCCAGCCCGGCGGCGCCGTGGCGCGTGCCCTGGCGGCCAGCGGCGGTGCGGGTCCTTGTATTCGGACTAGCACACTCAGACACGTGTTCGACTGGTTGTGTTCGGCGCTTTTGCGGCTTGTGTGTCCACGCGCCGTCCGTTTAGTCCCACCCTCAGCGCGCTTCTGTTCCTGCCGCAGGTCACGCGCGCGCTTTCCCGACGATGGACCACGGGTGGGTCACGCGCGGAGACGTCGACGACGGCGCGGTCGCCGCCGAGGTGGAGAGGGCCCTCGAGGAGACACTCGCCTTCCTGCGGGAGCACGTGTAGACCAACGTACTTTGGCCTCGCGGGGGAGAGGCAGCAGAGCGGGCGCGGTCACTGCATGCATGTGCATGTATCTGCCACCCTAGCCGCCCTTTGTACCTTCTGTGCATCTTCGTCCCCTGTCTGTACATCTTCGTGCGCGTCAACGCGTGTATTTATGTAAGGCAGTGACCGCTGTTTTTCTTTTGAGGCTAGTTCCATTTCACTCTCTGACACGCTAATCTTGAAAACGTCCAACGGAGCTCCGTGTTGCTCCCAGCGCCCTCCCCCGCGCTTCCTGCGGCCCTAGCCGATGGTACTAGCATGGAAGGTCATCTGGCTACCGCGAGAGCGACCCAACTCGTCGACATCGTCCGATGATGGTGCCTCAAAGTCAGCCTTCGGAGGCTATCGTGGGGTCGAGCCGGCAGTAGCCGTGACATGTGGTTCCACCACCCCTCGTAGGCTTTGCCTCTGACCGTCACCGTTCCCAGGCTGCCTAATGGGATGGAAAGAAAGGCTCGGCGAGCGTATAGAAGCGTGCTCGACCTCGTCGTGGCAGCCTGCACGGCAGCGCTGGTAGGTGCGATGAGTGTCGTGCCACCTGACCCGAGACGGGTCGCAGGTGTCGTACCGAGCGCGTCGAGACCG